CCTTGGACGCACATCTCTATACCGGAGGCCTCAGACAACCGGTCTTTGCAGTTCAAGCTCAAACTCCTCCAGCGGTTGATGTAGTCGATTGCTGGTTCATCTTTCCATTGACGAGTATTGGTGAGTTCTGTCATACTGACGGTCCTTTTTGTGCTGTAGAACCGGTTCAAGAACTCGTACTCCAACTGCTCCCAACTGTCGATGGAACCAGCCTCCAGGTCGATATACCAGTCGAAGGCGTTGCCTTTTAATGACCGTACGAACTGCTTTACCAAGAGATCGCCGTATGTCCCAGCGTTGTTGCATGTTTCCATGAAGTGTGCGACATGCTGCTTTGGGTTGCCTTTGCCATCAAATTGTTGGAACTTTGGTGGTTGATATCCCAACGGCATCTTGAGGGCGTCGATCCTTGAAGTGTAAGGCTTGGCATACATATTTGTTGGCCTTGAACTTCCTTCAAACTCCCTTTTGAGAGCTCCTTTGATATACTCGTCAAGTTGGGATAAATGGATGAAAGAGTCAGATGATGTTTGAAACGGCATTGGTCCCGCCATTTTTTCTTTACCGTGGCGTTGATCCATGGATGTTTCTGCTTCATTTTGGGCCTCCGAAGCATTCTGGTTGGTTGGTTCCGGCTTGTCCAATTTTGCAAGCAGTTTTGCGATGACATTGTCTTGTTGCTGCATGTGTTGAGACATCCCTTCAACAACTTTGGCCAGTGCAACAAGTTGGTCTTCTATGTTTGAAGCGTTCGTGGTCATCACCGGGGCATAACTCGATGCGGTCGAACGAGTTGCAACTTCTTGAGGGGTGCCCGGTGCGGAGGTACTCTTGAAGCTTTCGTCCTCCTCATAGAGTGAGTTTTGCTCTGTGATTTTCGGATGTGCATCCTCGGAAAATGACAGTACTCTTTTAGCCATACTTCGTGTCATCACTCCAGCATTCATTGAAGCACTTGAGGTTCTTGATGTAGTAGCAGCGACTCCTTTGGCGGTGGCGGCTAGAGCAGCAGCTTTCGACACAGCATTGGAAGTCTTGATTTTGTAGGAAGCCATTGATCGTTTGAGAATTCGACGGAAAGAGAGATGAAAGGTAGAGATGTCCCACTGGGCGTGCCAAAAATCTGTAGACAAAAAAATTGTGTTATATTTTTATAAACACAAAATTTGTACAAATTATATTTGTATTTAAATTTAATGCGGGTCCTATTCTCTATTCGGATCCTTTGATTCTCTCTCCGGGTCGATCCATTTTTCCAATTTGGATTTGGGTGGCTTCTTTGATCCGAAGGGATTTTGGTCTTCGGTTTGACTTCGCCGGCTTTTGAAGGACTTTGGTATCCATGTTGGCGATTTTGATCGTCGGCTTTGGATTGATGCCTCCTTTGGATGATCCAACGGGATTTGATCTTTGAGGGAGAGATTTGGTGCTCCATAACGCTTTTGGCGGCGTGTCCCTTTGACTTTTGGATCGAAGAGGGCCTGGTTTGCGCCTTTTATGAAGAACGCGACGAACATCTTCAAGCTTTGGGAGCGGCTTTGGAGGCTCTTCCTTGGATTTGATGGATTCCTCGATAGCTTTGAGAGATTTGATCCTTCCTCCGGCTCGGACATACGACGAAGAACGTTAACTTCATCGATTCGTCAACCAATATTGGATCATTTGTCCAAATCGGTGACTTTTCGACGAAGAACGCTTCGAAGGACACGAAGAACAATGAAGAACATTGCAAAGAGTCTAGAGAGACTTACCCTTGCGCGAGTCTTCAAATGAACTTCGGTGTCTAAATGAATTGGCCAAGGCTCCTATTTATAGGGGAGGGTGGCCTTGGCTTCCTTTTCGGATGGTGCCACGTGGATGGAAAGATTTTATAATCTTTCCTTTTCCCTCGGATGCCGTTTTCCATTTTTTTGACGGATTTGATTATGCACCTTCCTTTCTCGTCAAAATCTTTATATCATTGCCTTTTTTGGAAGATATTAATTTATATACTTCCTTTATTGACAAGATCTTTATATCATTGCCTTGTTTGGAAGATATTAATTTATATACTTCCTTTATTGACAAGATTAATTTATTTTGCTGCCAAATTTATTATGGCTCTATTTATGCACGTAATATTTGTACGATATCTTCCATTTTAAGCAGATTTTGCACTAATGGTTGATATTTATTGTACAAAAATTAACATATGTGCATAATTAAATACCATATATTTATTTTATTGGAATTTTATTTATTTCCAAAATACATGATATTTAATTGATTTTAGACATATATTTTTAGTGTCTACAGTAGCAATGAAGGAGGAAATTTCAGCAATTAAGAAAAATAAGACGTGGCAACTCGTTGATTTGCCACCAACAAGGAGGTGATCGGATTAAAATGGGTCTACAAAGTAAAGCATGATGCATATGGTTCAATTAAAAATCATAAGGCCCGAATAGATGCAAAAGGGTACTCGCAACAACTTGGAGTCAATTTTAATGAGACATTTCCTCCCGTTATGTGCTTGGAAACCATCCGAACGGCGCTTGCAATTGCAGCACAACTCGAGCTCATTGTCTACCAACTTGATGTTAAAGTGGTGTTATTGAATGAAGAATTGTAAGAAGAAGTTTATTTTGAGCAACCACAAGATTTTGTGGTTGAGGGGGAGGAGAATAAAGTCTACAGGCTCTGAAAGGCATTGTATGGGCTTAGGCAAGCTCCTCGTGCATGGAATTGCAAAATTGATAGGTATTTTTTTACATTAGTTTCCAACGAAATCCAAATGAGGCTGCCTTATACATCAAAAGAGACGGTGTTATTTCTTGACCGTGTGCCTATATGTCAGTGACTTAATTTATTTTGGGACTGACCTCAACTTTGTGAATGAGTTGAAGTTGCAGATGATGAAAGACTTTGAGATGACGGATCTTGGCTTGATGAAATATTTTCTCGGCATCCAAGTGCAACAAGTCAAATGAGAAATCTTTCTTTCACAAGAAAGAATATGTAGAAGATTTACTTCAAAAATTCCACACGGAGAATTGCAAGCTGGTAAGCACACTGATGATGTCGAATGACAAATTGGAGTTAGATGATCTCTCAAAAAAAACAGATGCAAAATTTTTTTGGAGTTTGGTTGGATCATTAACTTATCTATTTTACACGAGACTGATATTGCTTATTTGGTAAGTGTTCTTTCAAAATTCATGCAAGCTCCTAGAAAAATTCATTTTACTGCAGCAAAAAGAATTTTTGGATACTTGCAAGGAACCAAAAGAGTTGGGACTTAGGTACACCAAGGAACAGGAGTGCAAGTTAATTGGCTACACCGATAGTGACTGGGCAGGATCACTTGACGATCGAAGAAGCACATCCAGCCATATTTTTTGTCTTGGCTCAAATATGATTTCATGGAGTTCTAGAAAGCAAAAGTTAGTGGCACTATCCTCATTGGAAGCTAAATATATCGCAGCCACAGACAAAACATACGAAGCATTTTGGTTAAGAAGTGTTCTCGCCGACATGCAACAAGTTCAAAAGGAGCCAACGAAGATTTACTGCGACAATATGTCTACCGTGACAACGACAAAATCTTGTTTTTCACGATCGCTCAAAGCACATAGAGCTTCGTCATCATTTCATTCGAGAACTTATCGGTGAGGAGGAAATATCCATGAATTTTATTCGAGCAAATGATCAACCAGTTGATTTTCTTACAAAGGCAATGACGCTGGAGAAATTCAAAAAGTTCAAGATGCGATTCAAAATTAAAAATTAACAAAGTATAGAGATGTACATGTATCTATTAAAGTTATGCATGAATGTAGTTCAAATATTATACATGCATCTAATTAATCATAGATGATCTAGATGTGCCTTTGAACCTATAGATATGCATTCATATTTGTTATTTGTTATCAAGCAAAAAAAATCAAAAAATATATCCTTTAAAACATCATTTCCTAGCCTATTCAATTTGTTCTTATCTTCCTTTTTTCAACATCTTCTATGTGTTGTTGTCATCGACATTATGTTGACTGGTGTGTTCTTTGTCAGCATCGGTCTCTTTCTCAATCTGTTTATTTTTTTGGTATCAATCGCTTCCCAAGTTTTTCCTCTAAACTAATATTTGGAAATCAACTGCTAAGAGACAGAGAAAAACTCTTACTAACAGGCTTCTCTTATATATACAACACTGTACGCAAACGAACTATATGAATATTAGTATTCTCCCTCTTGTAATAAAATATATATATATATATATATATATTTCTTATTTGTTATCATAAAAAGAATAGATTTATTTTTTAATAAAAAATTATATTATTTCTGTCCTACATCAAATAGATGGTTTGAAAATTTATAATAAATTAAAAAATAATAATATTTTAAATTGTATCTATAATAGTATAATTGTAAGCAAAAATTAAAAGATATTTTGATATTAGTATATAATTATTTTTAGTAAAATGGGAAAGGAATATCGCATTAAAAATTCGTAATCTCTTTATCTTACCGAGGGATTATTATGTACCAAGACATCGATTGCCCGCGGGTGTGGTTGACTCATAATAAAATAGTGAATATATATATATATATATATTGTAATTTAATGATACCAAGGCAAGCAACTAATATTGAATTGTACGGTGGATGGATGGTTGGAATTAATTAATTAATGATTAGGGGAATTGCAGTTGGGTTGGTTATCAACTTAAATAAATTTCCACACCCACAATTATTCTTTCGACTTGGTCGTCCTAGTTAGTGTCATCTACAAGAGAATATATTACAAGGCCTCCAATAAATACTTATCCCCTGCTTGCCTGTATTGGATAATTATTATTATTATTATTATTATTATTATGATTATGATAAACTGTGTACTGGCCTCCACGTCCATACATACATACATGATACATACATACCAAATTAATTAATATATAAACCAAAAAATCGATATTTATTGCAATGAAACCTCTTCGATCAGCTTAATAAAGTCAGGCGTCGCTGTCGGGAAGATGGACGACGGACCAACATACACACTTTGGGATTACTATATAATAAAGTAGTTGAGCTGTTGCTTGTGTGGTGTGGTGTGGTGCGGTTTCACCAACATCAACGTAACACACAACGGCAACATGTCTGCATTTATTTGTTTATTTAAATTTAATTAATTTACCCCTCCTCCTCCTCCTCCTCCTCCTCCTCCTCCATCGACTCAATTAGTTGATTTGATGATATCCAAGCATGAACACGAGTAAGGTGAGAAAACGCTGCAGGGAACACCAATTCATAATTAATAATATCAATGTGCAGGATGCAGAAGATATCATCATAGCCATATTCCTCCGACCAATTATCAGGTTCGGCTGCTTCCGCCGCTTGTTCTCTGCCGCCGCCGCCGGCGCTTGCCTACTTCTTCTTTTTGCCTTCCTTTCTCCACCCATCACCACCAATCAACTCCTTGTCGTTAATACCCAAGACTCAGTACGTATATATATATATAGATTTTTGTATATGTATGTTTTTTACAAGGATCAATGATCATGCATGCATGCATGCTAGCTAATTTGGGCCGTTTGAATTGATTGTTTGTAGGCTGTGGAATGTGGAAGCAGCCGCAGAATCTGGAAATATTATTGGGATGGGAATCACCAAATCAATCTCTATAATGGATGCAGTGAAGCTAGCACCAACTTTATACGTACTTTCTGTCATAAAACACGCATTCTATAACCAGTTTAGAATAGTACTAGTGTTGTAATCAATCAATGCAGCCATGCATACATGTTAATTAATTTGGTAATTAATAGGAAGATTCAGCATTGTTTTAATTTCAACTTTATTAAAAACCAGTTAGTTATATAAACGAGGTGGTAGTGTTGCCTGAATTATATATATATATATATAATATACGTATAATATACGTATTGCAGCTGCAGAAGCAAACACAAAACCCAACAGGTTCTTGTTGGTTAGAACTAGTGGAGGTTTAAATCAACAGAGGACAGGGGTAAGTACGTAATTAACTAACAACTTTTACATAATATATAGATATATATATATACATATTCAAAAAAATTCACCATTTTTTAAAACCTTTTGTATGTTTTGGCAGATAATAGATTCAGTTGTTGCTGCGTATATCTTGAGTGCAACACTAGTCGTGCCGAATCTGGACCAAGAATCATTCTGGAAGGATGCCAGGTTAATTAGATATATTATATATATATGATGATGATGATGATGATGATCAAATTTCAGTCTCCAAGCTGACCCTTAATTTAACATATGGAGAGGTTTTCTCGTGCTGCAGCAACTTTTCTGATATATTTGACATGGATTGGTTCACTTCCTACCTGTCAAAGGATGTCAGAATTGTGACACGTCTCCCAGAAGAGGCTTCGGGGAGAGTAGCAACCACACGTGTTCCCAGGAAATGCGATCCCAGTTGCTACTCCACTCGAATCTTGCCCATCTTTAATAGAAGAAAAAATGTATGTATGTATGTATGTATGTACGTATGTATTTCGTGAATTTCAAAATTTTGTATTAATTATTAATTACTTAATTGGGAATGCATACATGATACATCCTCCCTCCCTCAGGTCGTCCAGGCTGTTGAACTTACAAAGTTCGATTACAGGTTGGCTAACCAGCTGGACGTGGATTTACAGAAACTGAGATGCAGAGTGAATTATCATGCTTTGAGATTTACCGATCCCATTCGAAAGATGGGCCAGAAATTGGTTGAGAAGATGAGAATGAAAAGCGACCACTTTGTAGCGTTACATTTAAGGTAGACTCACTTACTCCATCTATATAGACTATAATCTAAGCAACAGCAAGAATTATAATATCAGATAATAAGTAATTAATGTTGCTAACACGGGCGTGTTTATATTTAATATACACGTCAGGTTCGAACCTGATATGCTGGCGTTCTCCGGATGCTATTATGGTGGAGGAGATGAAGAAATAAAAGAGCTTAGCAAACTTCGAAAGAGGTGGAGAACCTTACACGTGAGTATGTCTAAAAAATTAAAGGGCCTGCAGGGAATGTTCTACCTATAACAACAATACAGTTTGAGCTGTTAAATTAACAAACAAATATGAAAAATGAATTCAGGTCTTGTTCACCTTAATTAGCTTCCCTTGTTAGTAACTGTAATTAATGTGGTAGACTGACTAGTGGTTGGGTTACAGAGAAAGAATCCTGATAAGGAAAGGAGGAATGGAAAATGCCCCCTAAGTCCTGAGGAAGTCGGGTTGATGCTGCGAGCACTAGGATTGGGTAATGACGTGCACATATACGTTGCATCCGGCCAAATATACGGAGGTGAAGAGGCGCTCGCACCTCTGAAAGCCCTTTTCCCAAATTTTCATACCAAAGAGACACTGGCCACAGGGGAAGAACTCGCCCAATTTTCGACCTATTCTTCTCGCATGGCTGCATTGGATTTTATTGTTTCCGATGAGAGTGATGTTTTTGTGGCCAACAACAATGGCAACATGGCCAGGATGCTCGCTGGAAGAAGGTACCTACCTACATTCACTACTTTATATATTGCTCAAACTCAAAAAATTGCATTGCATCGAGCATCAATAAAACAAGAAGCTTGTATATAGGTTAATATAAAATAGATTCGAGAAAATCAAATCTAAATTTAAATATGCTAAACTTAAAACTAAATATTTAAAATATCTCAACAATATATATAATTACGGTGCTGACTTTATACTGTCAATAAAGTATTGATTAAAAAAAAATTATTTTTTTGTATTTAAATTTTACTCATATTTTAAAAACTTCATTTCTTTATCTATATATATATAGAAGTTAATTAAAAATTAATAAATTGTTATGTTAGAAGATTGAACAGTTGCTTTCATGAAATATAAATTGTTCGTAGCTTTAAACTGTATTGAATTTAAAGTTTTGTTTTCTTATTGTTTAAATTTTGCTTTCTCAATGTTCAATTACTTTAAACTTTAATTTGTATTGAATTTAAAATTTCACATTCTTATCGTTTAAATTTTAGTTTTTTGCACCTTAAAATTTGTTAATTGTTGCAGTTAATCCTGATCAGAAATAAAATAAAATTAATAGGATGAATTATTCCTAATCAGTATGGTGATGAATGAGGATTAGCTATAATCTGCACCTGATCTGTTCCAATATATATATATATATATATATATACATATCTATACTAGGAAATACTTTGGTCACAAACCTACGATCCGGCCGAATGCAAGAAGACTGAGTAAATTGTTTCTGAAGGTGAAGAATGAAAACATTACATGGGAGGAGTTTGCTTTAAATGTCCAAAAGCTCCAAAGGGGTTTCATGGGAGAGCCTGGACAAATTAATGATAATAATAATGATGCCTACAAGGTGGATCATCAGTTTCACGAAAACCCTTTGGCCTGTATATGCAAAAATTCATAATTAATTAAAGTTAATCTGTGTATAATTAGGGTACCAGATCCAAGTAGCCATCTTGCTATCTATCATGCATAAGAAGATGAGCAGGATGGTATATATATATAGATTTATATATATACTAGTGGATGACATATATAATATTGTTGTACAGATAGCATATACAGAATATCATCTACTTTAATCTGTGTTTTTTAAATTTATTCCCTTTTGTTTGTTCTTTCTTTCTTTCTTTCTCTTTATGGAATTCACTTTCCCAGATTCCTATGAATAAATTAACTAATAAATTAGATGAGGTCGCATGAGTGAGAATGAATATCATAATGGTGGGGATCATAAAGAAGATACATATATCCGATCAATCCTTCGATGGGGGGAATTCAAAGTTGTAGCATCACCACCCCACCCATATTTGTTTTTCATGGATGCATGGGACCTCACCTCACCTGCACAGAATAATTAAAGTGGCCTGTAAGAATTAAGAGATAGTGGGATTATATTCCTTTAAATTTTTTATGTGGCTACAACTATTTTAATTTTTGTCAGTAGTTTGATATCTTCATAGAATCGAATCGTAGTAGTTTGTAAATTATTACAAATTACACATAGACAAAATATCGGATATTTAGACCCATAGTCTCATTATCACAAGCTTATTTCACACCTCTAAGTTATTTTTATAGAACTAGTATTATTTTTTATCGACTCATACATATAGAGTCTTTAATTCTTCTCACATTACTTACCTCCATCTGTAATTTGCTTCAAAAATGACACACATTATGCCAAAAAGATGAAAGAATGTAGCTAGAGTTTATCAATTTTTTTATTTTTTTTAGCAATATGTTAAAAACTAATTAATCTGAAGCTAAACTTGTATATTTCGACAGTTTTTACTAGTCAGTTAAAAATTATAAAATTAAATCATTATTCTTTTTGAAATTTCGAAAAATGTATTATATATCTTTGTATTGTATTCTCACAAATTCATATACTTATATATAAGTTCATCTCTTAAATTAAATATCACATACAACAACAACTTAAATACAAAATATTATTGATACAAAACACAAGTACAAACTAAACGCACTTTTAATGCATGCGCAGGGACTGAACTTATCAATTTTTCCTTTTCTTAAAAAGAATAAACATAAAAAAATTAAATAAAAAAAATAAAGTGATTCATGCAAATTGTATGTTCAATTGGAATTAATGATCCATGCATGATGCATATTATAATTCACCAATCAATCACAAAGTACATTAACTCCCTTCTTGTATCGTCAAATCTCCAGTACTAGTAGTAGTGTCTTTCCACCAGTTTCCTCCATATCGATGGGGTGTGTGGCCTCCAAGCTCGACGAATCTCCGGCGGTTGCTCTGTGCCGCGACCGCTGCTCTCTCCTCGATCATGCCCTACGACGCCGTTTCGCCTTTGCTCAGTCCCACGCTGCTTATCTCCTCTCCCTCAACTCCCTCGCTCTTTCTTTTAATTTGCACCGCCTCTTCATTCATGATTCCGACTCCGACTCCGACTCGCGTGCCCTGCAGCCTGATGAGCTCCCCGGAGCACGAGGTTTAACGAATCTTAATTTCATGAAAACCCCAACGACGCCTTCGCTTCTTTTTACACAACCGCCCATGGTTCCAGAGACTATGTATTCACCTGAATTTTCTGCAAATGATCATAATCAGAATCAGGATTTTGATAATATTAACAATTATAATTACGGTACTGGAGGTGGACTTGGAGGCGGTTCATCTCCGCAGGCTTCTTACAGTGGGGATATTTTGTCTTCCACAGTAATGATGCCTTCAGTTTCGAATGTATCGCCGCCGCCGCCACTGCCAGCAGGAAGCTCCACGTGGGACTTTTTGAATCCCTTTGACAGTGATGAGAGCTATTATCCTGCTAATAATACTCAGAGCCGCGATTCCAGGGACGTCAGGAAGGCAGAGGGGATACCGGATTTGGAGGATGTCGACGACGAAGAGGAGGTTGTGAAGGAAATTCATGGCGATGAGAGGCTTGTAGGAGGTGGAGAAACTGGCATTCAATCAAAGCCTGTAGCTCTGAAGGATGTTCCATTGCCAAAACATAATTCAAGGTCAAGAACAGGGGTGAAGAACAATGTAGTGGAGTACAAGAATGCAAAAGCTGCTCAAGGGAGGTTGAAAGTTATGGCCAAGACCTCCCAATTTAAGCCTCGCAGTAGGTTTAAGCATGACCTTGAACTTGTGAAGGAAATTCAGTTTCAGTTCGAGCGCGCTTCCAACTCCGGAAGTGAGATCGCCAAGTTTCTCCAGGCCGGAAGCCTTCCATACAATGAAAAACACAGCAATAATCAGGGTAAGGATTTGGTTTTCCAAAAAAGAATTTTGTCGAAAACACAAGGATGAATTTCATATAAGTTTTAAATCATAAGTTAAATTGGTGCATACTTTTAGATCATAAGTAATTTCGTTATTTATGTTTTCTTGATTAATCTTCCTATGGCACTACCTGCAGCTTTGTCGAAGCTATTGCATTTACCTATGGCATCATTCCTTCCGTCGCTGTCAAGAGGAATCAACCATGCCGATCCCTCTGTCTTAATTGCAGATGAAGATGTTGAAGTGAGATCAATAAACCAGTCTTCCACTTTGCACAAGCTCTACCTCTGGGAGAAAAAACTGTATGAAGAGGTTAAGGTAAGCTTTGGATTCCTTTGCTTTGATGTTATAATAATCTCTGTTTTCTGTCTGTATCTGCAAGAAGGCATTCATAGATCAAGTCTTGTACAATTTTAGACTTCATGTGATAACTTTTAAGAATTATACAAATTTTGAAGGATTTCAGATAGCAACATGCATTCTAAGGACTATGTGTGAGAAATGGAGACAAACACACACACAAAAAAAAAAAAAAAATCAAAGTCAACTACCATTAAATGAATTTGGACAATCAAGGATGTCATCTAGATAAGGTTGGAATTGCAGGGTTAAACCAGATTTGTATGCGAGGAAATTTAGGCCAATCTTGGAGAAATATTTAATGGCTCCCGAATTTTCTCTTGAAGAAATGAATAATATTTGAATAACAAGGATTTTAGAGGATCTGTTGACCCATGGTCAGATATAATGTTGTAGTAACTCTAGTCATTTAATCGATCTAAAATTTCCTCCCAAAATGTGAATGGGTTTTCGGTAAATTAGGATAATAATAATAAATAAATTTTGAAGTATGGAAATAGCTAACTAATAAGAGTAATAATTCCATCCATGATAAAGAGTCATCTAACTTATGGAGTTTCGTAGTTGGGTTTATTTTCCATTTTTGGACGGTATATAAAGCCCCAAACTTGTAAACACAAGAATATCATTATTACTCTCAGCTCAATTTGTTTTTATTGTTTTCAGTTTATTTCCCTTCGAATTATGTATTTATTTATCGTAATTTTACGATAGATCATCTTGTTATCAGTCGTAATCAGTTCCTAAAAAAGATTTTTTGTTGTTCGAGAGGATATTCAAAATATTGAAAAGAATTTCAGTACCATCCAAGCATTTGGACCAAGTTCTAGGACTATACAAAACCCTGGTAGAGGATTAGACCACTTATTTTCTTGGTGAGTGTAATGTCGCCAGTTCGAACCCCACCCACCGACACCATTTTACTCACTATCTAGTTCGCACTCAAAAAGTAGTGGATCTATTTAGCTCCTCCTGCCTATCAAATTTCTCTCAAACAAAAAAATATCTTAAAATAAAACGAACTAAGGGTTTTGAATATGAGATTGACTTTTAGTGAAATTAAATATAAAAAATAAAACATAACTATTTGATTTGATATTTTTTACAATTTTTTTTTTTAAATCGTAGAAATGAAATAAAATAAGCCAAACCTCTAACACACATACTTATGTTATTATTGCAGGCCGAGGAGAAACTTAGAGTCATTCATGAGGACAAGTCAAGAAAACTGAAGAATTTAGATGAAAAAGGTGCAGAGACTTCCAAAGTTGATGCAAATAGAAGCTTGGTGAGGAGCCTGTCTACAAAGATTAAAATTGCAATGCAGGTAGTTGATAAGATCTCAGTGAAGATAAATAACTTGAGGGATGAGGAATTGTGGCCACAGATACAAGAATTGATTCTGGGGTAAGTATTTGATGAATTAATCCCAATAGAGTATAAATTTCTTACATTTGATAGTTTTACACATCATTTTCTTGTTTCACATAATTGAATCTTGTCTATCATTTATGTATAAACCAGTATAGTTAACTAGATGTCGAATTTTAAAGTCTCTTAGCTTGTTGTTGTAGGTTTAACAGAATGTGGAAGTCGATGATGGAGTGCCATCACAGTCAGTTTCGAGCGATTGGCGAAGCCAAACAATTAGATGTCTTGGCATTCCCAAAGGCTTTTGGTAGTACACAACTAGAGGACACTCGGCAACTCGAACACCTAATTAACTGGACTTTAGGTTTCTCTTCTTGGGTGGGTGCACAAAAGGATTATGTTCGAGCATTGAATAATTGGCTGATGAAATGTCTCCTCTACGTTCCCGAAGAAACTCCTGATGGCTTAGCTCCATTCTCTCCCGGCAGAATTGGCGCCCCTCCGGTGTTTGTTGTTTGTAACCAATGGTCTAAATCATTGGATGCGATCTCTGAAATAGAAGTGATCGATTCCATGCGAGACTTTGCATCAAGTGTCCTGATTCAGTGGGATCAGGCGAAGGCTGAAATGCATCAAAAGATGTCGGCAAATCATGATGAGCAGAAGATCAAGAGCCTGGAAAAGGAAGACAGAAAGATACAAAAGAAGATTCAAACACTGGACAAAAGAATGATGCAGATGATGTCTTCTGTCAACAATGGGAGTGTTGTTTATAAGAGGGAGAGCATTGTAGAAAGCCTGCGCCATGTTTTCGAAGCCTTGGAAAAGTATGCTGCAAGCTCTTTCAAAGTTTATGAGGAGCTGTTGCAACAGATGGACGAGGGAGGAAACCGTGTGGCCAATGACCATCCAAATCCAAAAGCTTCATAGCATCGTTTTGTTGAGTTGAAACAAAACATAGAATGAAGAGTGGTGAAATTAGGGTTTGATCCTTTTATACATTTTGTGTCGTCTAAGTTAATGTTGCATGCACTTACAATGCCTTCATTGCTGGCTGCTTAAAAGATATTTGAGGAGGAATAACAAATAAGTATGTGCTATGCACATTTGGGAGAGGTGAAATGTGTATCGTAATACTAATAATATATGTATTGTTGTACGACTACGTGAAAATTCAGTTTTGTCTTTGATTGTATCTCTCAATTTGGTTTGAACCTTTGTCCCTCCCCCTCCGTACGTATTGCAACATGAAAAATCAATTTTGCCCTTCACTTTATTTGTTAATTTACTTTCTTGTACCTCTAAAAGTTTTCCTCCTCAATGATCAGGTTGATCGATCCAATGTAATAGCAATCCAAACAAATTTTAGTTTTTTTTTTTTCACAACAATGCCATGTACCAACCAAATAGGAATGAGAGAATGAAAAGTTCCAGCGATGCATGCGCAGGTGGTCAAAGAAGACCAATTGAGATGGCCTTTCCGGATTGCGGAAGATCGAATTGCATCTATCATTATGAGGATTGGCCAATTTTACATAATCATTTTGCATAGACCAATTTGTATGTGGTAGAGAGCGATGCCCGATTCCTCAACACATGAAAGGCCAATTCTTCCCGTTTGCAACACAAAAGGCTGATTGTTTCGTCGTCCAATGGCCAAATTCTCAATCTAACTTTTTATCTCTTTTCATGTCCTCAATGTATTTTTTCTCCTTGCATTTCTCTCTTACAACTCATCAGTCATTTTTTTACTAATTTTTTATGTTGAAATTGACGTGGGCTTAGATCTACTATGAGAACTGGCCGATTTAGGAGACTGAAATAATTATGCAGAGGCCAATTTGTATGGTGTGCAAAGCGAAGTCGTATTCATTTCGCTAAGGCCAAAATGTTCCACTTGCCCATATATATGACAATTCAAATCACAAAAATCAAATAGCCACGTCATTAGTTACATTTCACTAGAGTTGTTTAAAATTGGGCCTTTTCGCTTTCCTAAACCTGCTTTCGTTATGATTCTAACCAGCATGGTCACTACGCTTCAAATTTTAATGTTCCCCATCAAATATGGACATTTAATCTCTCTCCCCCCTCAAAAAAAATCCAAAAATGGCATCTAAGGATTCCACACACCAGTTCCCGGTACAAGAGAGTGGCAAACAAATTTTGCAAACAATAGGAAAAACAGGGCATTGATTGAGCCATTCCCGGTGCCACCGCGCTGGAGAAGAAGAAAAAGAAAGAGGATCATGGGCCTCCGCCGGTGGTGCCACCTGCCGACGCGCCGGAAAAGATGAAATAGTAAGGGGGGTCGGGCCTCCGCCTCTGCCGCAGCCTGCCATTGGTGCCGTCGCCTCGCTGGAGAAGAAGAATAAGAAAGAAGGTCCTATCTGTGCTGCTGATGCCGCCGGAGCGGAGAAGAAACTGCCGGTTCCACCCCTTGCCGCCGTCACTGGAGAAGATTTCTGTTTGGATATTTTAAATATTCGGTTTTAGATCAGTAGATTGATATTTTTTGGTTTTATCTATATATTAGATTATTTATATTTGAATCTCTCGAGTCTGTTTTGTATTGGCTATATATAAGCCCTTGATAACTCCGAATAATAGTATATTTTTCCCTTGACAAAATTGTGTATTACTTGAATTTTTATGTGAAAACCATCAATATATCTTATTTATGGCATATTTTATTGAATTATTTCACTTGGTATGATCCAAAGCGCGTCTTTTGAGATTATTAATATTTTTGGCCCATTTAAGCCATGTTTGTGCTCCAAAAAAGCTAAGTATTGAAAGTCAAGCGACAGCGTTTTCCGCTCGGCAAGCGACACTCTTTATGCTCAAGCCAGCGCCAGCGACCAGACATCCACCGCAGCAAAGCGAGAGTGAAACCACTCTAGAAATTTACTAAGTGTTCATCTCTAAACAGTCCAGCCATTTCGATACTAGCCAGTAACAACAACATAACTTGAGCTGCCTAATGCCCTCAAGCTATCCAGGCAAGCGAGGAAGATTTTCGTCCTTACATTCCCAAGCAAGTAAAGGCGACCACCCAAGGAGTTATGGCCAGTACAACTGCTTCAACATAATAACTACCACCAACTGCATAACTGCTCAGCGGTTTGAGCCACTTGTCAACTGCTTGCAACTGTTGTCTTATCTAATTTATAAATAGGATCAGATTTCTTTTGTAAATAAAAAGACTCATATATAGATCGACACTGTTGTGTTCTTAATTTTTCTGCTGCTTTTTTGTTTTCCTAGAGCTCCAACCTTGTAAGGGAAATTTCTAGTTAGAAATGGCCCGAGGAATTGAGATTTTCTCTTCCCCTAGCCTCTCATTTTATTGCTTTATAGTTTAAGTTTACAGCTTTATTTTCTACTTCCTTATTGTTCTTATTATGTAGATCTTTACTGTTTTTCTTTAGTAAGTAAGGGAATATCAAGATTTCTTCATATTCACTTCTCTCCTCATTTCATATTTGTATTCGCATCGTATTCATTAACATATTTTAGGTAGTTCAATGTAGTTAAGTACGCGAGAACCTTATCGACCTGCTTAACTGCTGTTCTGAATTCGATTTTGATTAAAGATAAGTAACTGAAAGGTAAAACCACTAATGGTATCAGAGCTTATTTTTCTCATGCCGTAGATATAGCCTACCAACCCACATTTCTCCCGGTACATTCAACGTGGATTGTACCCGGAGGTCTTGTAATTTTGAGATCATGCCTTTGCAAATTTGTCTCTGAAATTTGTCTGAGATCTTTCTGCTAGCCCGATTTTTCAAAACGGGAAACATTAGCCGCCGCCACTGCTGTTCGCCACCACCCGCTCTCGCCGGTCGACACCACCGCCGTTAGAAGCACCTTGTCGTTGCCGGCCAGCCACCGAAAATTCTCTGCCAACCGCCGCCCATGGATCTGCCACGCGCCGCCAATGGAAATCGCGGAGGAAGAGCTTTTCCGCCCCGCCGCTCTTCCGGCCGTGCGTGCGGGCGCGTGGGGCCACTCCGGCCGCCGCCTACTCATTTAATTCCCTATGTTGTGGTGTGGTTGGTTTTATGATCGTAGTTGATTTCGTTTTTGCGACTGTTCCCGGTTGGGTTATTCGATCTATTCTGCAATATGTTCTATGATCTTTCTGGTGTATGCGATATGTTCTGTTATCTTTCCGATTTTTGCAATGTGATCTATCTGTTGTTTGCGATATGTTCTGTGATATGTCCAATGTTTGTGATCTGTTCTGCAATTTGTCCGGTGTCTGCGATTGGTTCTGCAATATGTCCATTGTTTGTGATTTGTCTGATGTCTACGAACTGTTTTGTGTGCAATCTATCTGCGTTTGACTTTGATTCCATTTAGATTCCTGCCTGCATTCAACTCCGACTCAGAGATCACTTCTCTCACAACGATCTGAAATCTATTTGCTATTTGTCTATTGCTTGTCTGTTGCCTGCATGCGATCTGAAATTTGTCTGCGATCTGCCATCTATCCGTTGTTTGTCTGTTGTCTGAAATCTATCTGTGATCTGTCATCTATCCGTTGTTTTTCTATTGTCTGGGTGCGATCTGTTTGGTGTTTGCGATCTATAGAGTCATGTCATTTTTTACTCTAGTGGAGAGTCATGTCTTTTTCGGCTCCGATAGAGAGTCATGTCGTTTTCGGCTCCGATGCAGAGCCAACTATTTTCGGCTCCGGTGGAGAGTCAACTGCTATTTTTATTTGCATTTTTTGCGTCTATATTCAATTTTTTTTTATCAAACTAAAGTTGGTTTATGTTATACCACTTGAGTTTAAGGGCGGATGTTGATATATTTTAGATATTCGGTTTTAGATTTAATAGATTTATATTTAGATTTGGTCTTATCCTTATATTAGATTACTTATATTTTAGTCTATCGAATCTGTTTTGTATTGTCTCTGTATAGGCCCTTTTATTTTGATGATTAATAAGACAATCTTATTATTTTTCCCTAAAAATTCTAACAATTCCGAGCCCGCCCCCGCCGTTGCATCTTCCGCTGTCGCTGCCACCGCGCAGAAGAAGAAGAAAAAGAAAGAGGAGCATGGGCCTCCGCTGGTGCGCCATCTGCGGCCGCCACACCGGAGAAGATAAAATGGAAAGAGGTAGGCCCTCCGCCTCTGCTGCGGCCTGCCATCGGTGCCGTTGCCTCGCTGTAGAAGAACAATAAGAAAGAAAAGGTCATGCCTGTGCTGCCAGGCCGGAGAAAAAGCCGCCGGCTCCGCCGTCTACCCCGCTACCGCTGCCTACCAGAGAAGAAGAAAAATAAAGAAGTTTTGAATGCTTACATCGCTGCCGTGCCGGAGAAGAGGCCGCCGGTGCCGCCGCCTGCCGGAGAAGAGGAATACTAAAGAGGAGGACGGGCTCGGCCGCTGCCGCCATCGAGTAGTAGGCGGAAGAGAAGGAGAATTAGCGAATATAAACTACAAGAAAAAATCATTTTTATAACAAAAATTTTTTGTCTCTAAATCTATTTTTTCTGTTACTAATGACATTAAAGACGGAAATAAGAATAAAATTACGTTAGCTACGTAGACTTTAGGAACAGAATTCCGTTACAAATATAATATATTTTTTTTGTAGTGATAGTGGAACAATAAAGAGGAGGAGGATGAATCAATGAAGGAATAAATCAATGAGAAAAATTAATGTGGGGTGTTAGGTGAAAGGTGTTTGAAAGGTTTTTTTAAAATTTTATTAGGTGTGTTTACTTGTGAGGTTTCGGTTTTGGGTTTTGATTTTGAATAATAAAATTTTGAATTGAAATAATTATTTGATGTGATATAAATATGTTTTGATGTGATGTTTTGAATGTAATATTTCAATTTTGTAAAAATAGGAAAGTATAGTGTATGCAATAAATTTATATTTGAATTTTTTTAATTTTTTAAGTTTTGAATTTTTTTAAAGAAAAATTTTTTATATTGATTTTTTTTATAAAAAAAATTAGGGTATTACAGTTTCGACAAGATATTTTATATTTGAATTTTTTTAGAATTTTTAAGTTTTGAATTTTACTTTAAAGAAAATATTTTAATATTGAAAATTTTAAAATTAGAGTAGGGTAGTTCGAATGAAAATTTTATATTTAATTTTTTTTAGGTTTTTAAGTTTTGAATTTTATTTTAAAGAAAGAATTTTAATATTGAAAATTTTTAAAATTAGT